CACACCACCTTGCCGCGCCGCGCCCGCGCCACGAGGCCAACAGAAGAAGACGTCCGCACTGTGCCGCATCGTGACAGCCCTTCGCGCTGCGAGGCTGCCCTCCTCCGCGCCGCGATGCGCCCTTCCCCACGCCGTGATGCACTCTTCTATAAATATATGTACGGGTTCCCATTCACGAATAACCTCTCTGGACCAGGGTGAAAACCCCAAGTCTCGATAAAACACAAAACTCTCTTCCTCCTCCTTTCTTTCTTCTTCTTCCTTGTTCCTTTTCTTCTGTTAATCATTATTTTCCATTTTTCTTCTTCTATTTCTTAGTTAGGGACTAAGCTTGTAAGTCGAATTCAACATCTGAACTTGGATTGATTATAAGTATTTCTTTCTTTTGTTTAATTCATGAATAATGGTTGACTTGAGTAGAATGATTATATTTGTTGAATTTGATTTATGTAGCTAATTCTTTCTGCTAGGGATAGTGGATGATTGTTCTTGATTAATTTCGTTATTATTGGGCTTTAATCTGTTCATGCTTGTGCGAGTTGCTTTAATTAGGGTTAATTAATTCTTGCTTGATAACTTGATATAATCGAAGGGTGACACTTCGATCTTGCAATTGGTATCAATTGAATGTTAATTTGTCGAGTTAGGGTTTGTTGATTTTATATGATTAGTTGATTAAACACCTTCTAATTGAATTAGCGACTTTTAGAACCGAAAGCGGAGAAGTCGTAGACCTAGGCTCGCATGAGATAGATGATTTCGTAACTGAATAGTCTATAGATTTTGGATTGAAATATGTACTTGCCGATGACCCGTCTCTTGTTACGAAAAGTTATTGAGAGTGGGATAATTGACATGTGTTGTATGCTCGAGCTAGCTCGTCTATGTTCAATCCCTTGTTACGAAGAGTTATTGGGAGCGAACCGCTAGATGTCTAAGCGAGAGTGTCAATCTCGAACCGAACAATTGACTGCCCGGTTTTTCTTAGAACTTGAATGAATTATCCCCGATTCCCTAGTTTCTTTATCGCTTTCTAGTTCGTACTTTAGGT